AACTTGGTTTCTTTAAATTAGCACAGGTTTTGTATTACTTTTTGAAACTAAAAGTACCTTAGGACCTTAGGATCTGAGCTTATGCATGTCAGTTTTGGAGTGAAAAAAAAGTGGATAAACTTGGCCATGTTCACTCAAAAACTGAGTTGCATAAATTCAGATCAATGAAAGAAGCAGAAATATGGTGATTTTATGGTGATTTCGCATCCATACCATTTCAGAGCTAAGAGTGAGTAAATGACAGATTTTCATGTTTGGGTGAACTATTCCTTTAAGAAAGTAAATAGTGTGCATTTTGATTTCATGTTGACTTCAAAACCATGTTTACTAAAATTGTTGTGCTTCCACCAAACCTCTTACTCAACTAACTTTATAAATGACTGTTGAAAGCCTCTTCTTCAGGCAGTTACCGTCAATCCACTTTTACACTGAAAAGAGGTGCTCAGCGTTATTATCTGGCCTTTGTGTTGCAGGAGGAGTCCGGGGAGACAGGTAGCATAATTCAGCAAAATAAGATGTTTTCAGGGAGAGGGTATTAAGTAGGTGGTTTGTTAACCAGGTAAACGAGGAAACAGTGGGAGGACAGCATAGTGAGAGAGAGAGACAGAGACTCCAACACTGAGCCTCTTTGTGAATCAAGATGATGGCAGTGTAGTCTGAAGCACACATAAGTGGCTGAAAGTTTCATAAGTGCAATCACTCGCCATTTCAGCTCCGCAGCAGGACGGACAGCTCTAGAGCGCTGAAGGCTCCCGCTACATCTACCCTTGTCTTGGCCTGAATCTTTCTGCACAATTTCTCTGAAACAAGACCCCCTGAGAGAGATTTGAGAGATTGATAGAAACATATCACACTCAGACATGAACACTCACACTCGCACACGCACACACACACACATAAGGGTGTTTCTGCACCTATTAGCAATTTTAGCCCTGTGGACTTTTAGAAAATAACATTTTAATAGTTTGTGGGTTTTTCTTAAAACACTTTTTACACTCTCACTAGTTTAATTTTTCAATTTAGTATATACAGTACATCCATAATAGTAGAATTCTGTATTTTTTATGCTACAGTGTCATCACAGTGTTATTTTGATTATTAATATATTATTTTAGTATTTAGTAATATTCTGAATTAGCTTATATTTTTATATTTCAGTTTTATTTAAATTTCAGTCTAAGTTTTAGTAATTATGTGTGTTTTTATCCATCCATCCATCCATCCTAATATTTTTCACACTCATCTTTTTATTGTCTTTTTGCATGCCCTTTACTGACACTGCTGTCTTTATCTAAACAAGTACCTTAACTTTATACATTTATTAAAACTTTAGTAGCCAAATTGTTGTTGCAGTGACTGAAGGAAAGTTGTAATGTAAAGTGTAAAACTGGCTATAAATATGTAATCACATTTTTCTCACATTATTGTTTAGATTATCATATTTTATAAATATTATAATTAATACGTTATATGATATATATAAATATTATTTCAATATTATAGTATATTACCTCTGTTGAAGTGTATGGAATCTAAAGGCTCATATTTTTAATATATAATATAATAAAATTTGAAAACAAGGCAAAAAGTTTCCATTTTAAATTTAATGCGGCATTCATATAGCAAAAAGAAAAAAAAAAGTTAACATTTCTGGGACAACTCATACTGTAGCTTGAAGGATCACTATAGATATACTGTATATTATCATAGGGAGATGTCAAAACAATCATTGGCTATGGTTCAAACCAGTGTTAATTTTGACAGGCATTTTTGTCTTAGTCTTTATCTTGAGACGAAAATGCTTAATAGTCTTAGTCACATTTTAGTCTTTTAGTCATTACTTTTAGTCAAACTGCAGTTACCAACATTTATTTTGGTAGCTATTTTATATTTAGTCTTAAAAAAAAAAAAAAGTCATTAATTCTTCTCTCTTTAGACCAAATCAATTAAGCATATGAGAAATTTGAATCAAAGATTGAATTTGGAAAAACCTAACTTTGAGGACACTTAAAGGAGCACAGCAATAATTGCTCCCCTGGAGACTGGAACAAAATGGCCTCAGTCTTGCAGCCTTTGGTCACCGCAGTATTTATAGTGTTTCTCCCTCTTTGTTAAACCTGTCAAGAGGCAGCACCCAGCACCAAAATAAAGAAAGATGTTTTATTTTAATATATCATGAGTGCTTTTTCTGAACACCGTGTTACTTTTGAGGATTTAGCTCTGTTGAAGTCACATGGCGTGCTGGGCTGGCTTTCAAGAGAAGCTCCCGGTGGATGTATAATTCAAGGTTTCTATTTCACGTCATGTCCGCAGAGGGCATCTCTTGATGAACGATGCATTGTTTATGTGATCTGTGCACCTGTCACTTCATCTCCAGCGGCTAGGTGTTTAAATGAAGAGGTTAGTTCCACATTTATCATTACTATCAAGCTAAAAGGTTAGTAGAGTTTAATCCGCAGTCCCCATACCCTTTGCTTGGGCTGTCAGATGACAGAGTATTCCTTCCCCCCCAACCCTCTGTTGTTTTTCTGCCTTCTAAAGCGTTCTCGCAGTATGGGAGAGTCGATGTGCTGGAGCCGTTCCATATGATATATTCCCCAGTGGCCTGATTTCCAGTGCGGTACATGTGCATGCTAACTGCTCTGGTTGGCTCTGATCCGCCCACTCAGTACCATTAGATAAAGTGTTTCAGCTGCTCAGCATGGAAGAAACACCCCGCCTGCTCACTCCAAAGATCTCTTCAAGGTTTCGTTAAATAGCATTTCCCTCGCTCAGGGTAGACAGAAGCTGAAAACGGTGGAGATGAGATGAGCACATGTGTGTTAGCTCACCCAGGTGACTAATAATGGATCATCATCATCATGGTTTTGACAACACAGTGATGTTTGGAGCATTTAGAGCACAACTATTACCATATTTGAGCTACCTTATTTTGCCCATTTTTCTCCTTCTAAGGCTTTTCATAAAGATCTGCACTAACAAGCTATGAACCAATGCGGCCAGATAGATCACAATGAAAACTTAATTTGAACCAAAATATTTGAAAATAGTGCAAACAAAGTCAAGCTATTCAGTGTGTTACTTGCTGTTTCTTTGTAATTATTGTATTTGTGAAATTGACTAGTAATTTCTGAGTGAAAATGTTTCAAAATAAATCACCACCAATTTTTTTTTTCCCATGTTTCCCCTTCTTAGGCATTTTGAGCCTGTTATTGAGCATCATAAAGCATGAACCAAAGCAAACAGATGAATCACACAGAAACAAAAGGAAAAATCATGAAAAAAAAGTTATGTACAATGAAAAATAAAATCTAAATATACAAAATGTTGTGCATACTTTAAATATGCTTAAATTATTTTATGAGTAAATGTACTACTTATCCCATGAAGCTTTGCTAATGGAAATAACTGTCAATCCAAAATGATTGACCATTAGTCATTATAATATAAAATACAATATATATGTTGTTTATTGCTAAATATTCAAACATATACAAATACATACACAATTTGCAGTGTGGCAAAACACAATTGCGTTATTCACAAGTTTTACGGGAGTGGGCAGTCATGACTGAATATAGTTTCTGTTTCCATGCAAAAGCTCTTTATAGGATTATGCATAGTTTTGATGTTAGATCTTTAGATCAAAAATCCATATGCTGAAAACCAAAATTGATGTAGAAACAATTTTCACTCTGAAATTACTAGTCAATTTCATATATTATTACAAACTGCAAGTAACACATTGATTTAACTTGAAATATTTTTATTAATAGTGTAGTTATTAAAACCATTTTACCTCTGCCCTGTACAGGACATAAGGAGCTGGTAGAGCTTGCTGTAAGCAACACCAAGGTCATGGGTTTGATTCCCAGCAAGTGCACATACTGATAAAACACATAACTGGAATGCCATGTAACTTCATCCACATTACATTCATGCATTTGCTGCAAACTATATCTGTCAAAAGCATAAATGCATTTTTGCTTGCAGGGTGTTCATAACATTACTCAGTTACAAACCACATCTTTTCGAATGTGTCTAATGTGCAGTTATAGAGTTTGTCTTGTTCGTGCACTCACATATAGTAGATATTAGTGGGTGAGGGATTGTAATGCTCAGATTTGATAAGGCTTTCAACACTTCGATGTAACACAAAGGCAAAAGCCCATGAAAATGTTTGGCAGCCAATTAAACCCCAGAACAAAGACAGGCCTGCACACAGTATCCAGTGGGAAGAATACACATACTTTATGTTCAAATCACCACTGATGCACATCATGGAATTATCTCTATTTATAGGACTTTTTATTGTCTTTTTTTTATTATTCTACATATGGAACACTCTAGAGTTTGAAGCCAAAATTGACCCTATTTAATTTCTTACAGTAACATGTTATGTTTTTTAGGCAGATTATAGATTATAATGATTAAAAATGATTAAAGTCACTTCAATATACCTAACATTAACACCTCTAAAACATTATGCATTTAATGTCAGCGTTAGAGGTTGTGATCATCTTTTCTTCCCTATTATGATGTATATCCAAGTGAAGCTGTTTTTTTAATGAGAAAAAAAACGTATGGCGGGATTTGATTTTGTCTATTGGGAACTGAATGGATCGTTATTTGTTAATTGCTGTGCTCTCATATGATTATGCTGTGGTATAATTTGATTAAAGTTTATGAGGGCACATGAATTAAAAACAATAGTTATGTGCACAGATAAATCATAAACAATGCAATATTCCATTAAAAAATGTTAATTTTTCATTTAATTGTAACTTTAAATAGACAGCATGATAGAATAAAAAATCCACACAGACTCACAGTACTGAATTTACTAAGACCATTTTCCCATCCTAGTTCAAGTGCAGCCATCAAAATAAATATTTCTGAGCGCATTTCGTTAAAAAATTCTCAACAGAAAATACTGTTAGGTATTATTCTGCAAAGCACAGTAATGCACTTCTTTTACCAATCTTTATTTCTCTTTTCAGGTTGTCCCGTGGCCATTAAGCGAGTAGGAAGTTCTAAACGGATCGCTCTGGCAGCAGCAGCCATGATGGTGATGGATTCTGACGTGACACAGGGACCATCTGTCTCTTCTGCTCACCCTCTCCACCTGCTCTCGCTCTCACCCATCAAGATTCCCTTTCTGACGGCACCTCACGCAGGTAGGAGTACAAAAGAAAACGCTTTCATTAGTGTCCTTGTGCTCATGAAAAGAATCCCCAGTGGTCGCCTATCAAACGCTGCCGCTGTCCCAAAGGATTTTATCCTAGCTGCGGTTTTGGGGAGTAACTAACTAAAAGTAACAACCCTTTAATGCAATTACGTTTTGCAGTGACAGCAGCTTGGCTGTTTTCAAAACTGTGAAATTTTTCCAGTATCGTGATGTGATATAACTGTCACAATGGTATGATTGCGTATATGTTATTGCTTTTATACAACAGTGCAAGATGTTAAAGGGATAGTTCACCCAAAAATCTAAACTCTGTCATTATTTACTCTCCAGGCTGTTCCAAATCTGTATAATTATGATGATCAGTGAAACATAAAAGACAATTTTTGAAGAATGTTGGTAAGCAAACAGTTTTGGCTCCCATTGACTTCCATTGTATTTAATGCAAGTTAGTCGAAATTAAAACTGTTTGGTTACCAGCATTCTTAAAAATGTCTTTGTTTTTTCCTTGTGGAAAAAATAAATGCATACAGTAAGCAATGACAAAATATTTTTTTTTATTTTTGAATGGATCACCCCTTTAATATTGAGTGACTTACAATGCAAGTTACTTTGTAAATTTTTGCTCCTCCATAGAAAATATTTCCAAACGAACCATTAAGCATCTAACAACGCACAGTAGTGGTGTTACTGAATGAATTAGTGTTGTTGAATAAATCAGGTAAGTAAATGATTCAATGAGTGACTGGTTTGTGGTCCATTAAGGCACAATTTATGGTGTGGTAGTACAGTATGTCCCAAAACGTGCCTACTCTACTGCTACACACTCAAAAGCATGTACTTTTTCTTCGCAAAAAGAGTACATTCATGCATTTAGGGAAGACTATAAGTATGTGAATAGTCAACCTGAACTAATCAGTGATGATGAACAAATCATACAATGATTCGATGACTCACTCAAAAAAAAAAAAAAGTCATTAATTCTTCTCTCTTTAGACCAAATCAATTAAGCATATGAGAAATTTGAATCAAAGATTGAATTTGGAAAAACCTAACTTTGAGGACACTTAAAGGAGCACAGCAATAATTGCTCCCCTGGAGACTGGAACAAAATGGCCTCAGTCTTGCAGCCTTTGGTCACCGCAGTATTTATAGTGTTTCTCCCTCTTTGTTAAACCTGTCAAGAGGCAGCACCCAGCACCAAAATAAAGAAAGATGTTTTATTTTAATATATCATGAGTGCTTTTTCTGAACACCGTGTTGATTTTCCGCCTTCTAAAGTGTTCTCGCAGTATGGGAGAGTCAATGTGCTGGAGCCGTTCCATATGATATATTCCCTGGTGGCCTGATTTCTAGTGTGGTACATGTGCATGCTAACTGCTCTGGTTGGCTCTGATCCGCCCACTCAGTACCATTAGATAAAGTGTTTCAGCTGCTCAGCGTGGAAGAAACATCCCGCCTGCTCACTCCAAAGATCTCTTCAAGGTTTCGTTAAATAGCATTTCCCTCACTCAGGGGAGGAGGCAGGCGCTGAAAACGGTGGAGATGAGACGAGCACATGTGTGTAAGCTCACCCAGGTTACTAATAATGGATCATCATCATGGTTTTGACAACCATTGTAATACTTCAAAAATGTCATGCTTAATTCAATGTTACTTGCCATTTATTTGTGATTATTTGTGAAATTCACTAACAATTTCTGAGTGAAAAATGGTTTAAAAGTAAATCCTACACTTTAAGTATACTTGAGTAAATTACTTGAGTAAGTATAAGTATACCTGAGTAAGTATACTTGATTAAACTACTCATCCCATGATGCTTTGCAAATGGAAACAACTGTCAGTCCAAAACAATTGACCATTATAGTCATTGATTATGTACTATACAATATATTTGGTTAGGCTACTGCAAAATATATGAGATAATTACTAGCAAGTTTCACAAATGATTGCAAACTCCAATTAACAAATTGAATTACTGTGAAATATTGAAGTAGAAAAAAAATAAAACATTCTGTTTTATTTATTTTTTATTATAGACATTCAACTCTTCATTCAAAACTTCATCCACATTATATTTATGCATTTGCTACAAAAAGGATCTGTCAAAAGCATGAATGCATAAAGTTGATTTTGCTTGCCTGGTGTTCATAACGTAACTCAGTTACAAACCACATCTCTTCTAATGTGTCTAATGTGCAGTTATGGAGTTGTTCATGCACTCACATATAATAGATATTAGTGTGTGTGAGGGATTGTGTGTTCAGATTTGATAAGGATGTCAACACTTTGATGAAACACAAAGGCAAAAGCCCATGAAAATATTTGGCAGCCAATTAAACCCTAGAACAAAGACAGACCTGCACACAACATCTGGTGGGAAGAATACACATACAGTCGCCACTGATATATATCATAGAATTATAACAATCTCTATTTATATGACTCTTTATTTTCTTTTTTTTATTCTACATATGGAACACTGTAGAGCGTGAACCCTATTTACTTTCTTATAGTAACATGTTATGTTTTAGGCAGATTATAGATGGTGATTAAAGTGATTAAAAATGATTAAGGTGATTAAAAATGATTAAAGTCACTTCAATAATACATAACATTAACATCTCTAAAACATTGTGCATTTAAATTCAGCGTTAAACTGAAGTTATGATCAGTGGTGTAGTGGTGCCTTGAGAAGTGGGTATACTCTTAATTTATGCCCCCGATTTTTTTAAGCGGCTGTAACAAAGTTCGTAGTTCGGGAAGAAGGAGGCGGGAACCGGTGAACATTTAAAGACTTTAATAAAATAAACAAACACAAAATGAAAGTAAAGCGGCAGCCCCTCGCGGACGACTGCCGCACACAAAACACAAAATAAAATCCAGGCCTGGTCCTCTCTCGTCCAACACTGTCGTCACTCCTCCTTTTATCCTTCAGGAGCTCCTCCGTGGGACTCGAGAACGGTGAGTGGCGCAGGTGTCACGCGTTAGCATTTACTCCACCGGCCTCACGAGAGAGGGGAGAGAGGGAAAAAAAATAAAATAAAAAATCTTGTTCCGGTTCCCAGACACACTGCCGCTCGGCCCTCCACCAGCTGGGTAAACTCTTCCGCGATGCCTGGTGGCGGCACTGGATAGCCCTCTCGGTCCAGATCAGGGGAGTGAGGTTTAAAGGCACAGCTCTTACTAGCCTACGACAGTTACATGCGCCCTCCGGCTTCCAGTATGAATTAAACATAGCCTGCATGAACGTGTTTACGCCTCGGTCCTGAGTGTTTTTAAGGAATATTTGCATTTGTTCACATGCGATTAGATTAGCTACTCATGTGCTGGACTGTCTTGATTTGGCTAATGCAGGACACTACAGGATGAAGCGCATCAGAGGGGATTTAGACGTAGGTATACGCAATGCCGACTGATAAAGAAGTGGGTATATGCCATACAGCTGCGTATACCCTGCACTACAACCACTGGTCACTACAACCATCATCTTCCCTATTATGATGCATACTGTAAAACTGCCTCTTGAACGAGAAAAGATGTACGCAATGGACAATTGATTTTGTCCATTGGGAACTGACTGGTAATTGCTGCACTTTCACGTGATTGTGCTGTAGTATCATTTCATTAAGGTTTATGAGGACACATGAATAAAAATAAAAAAATTGTGTGCACAGATAAATCATAAACTGCAATATTCTATTAAAAAATCAATTTAGATTTAATGGTGACTTTAAATAGACAGCTTGATGGAATAAAAATCGACACAGACTCACATTACTGAATTTACTGGGACCATTTCCCCATCCTTGTTCAAGTACAGCCATCACAATAAATATTTCGGAGCACATACTTTGTTAGAAAATTGCCAACCAAAAATACTGTTATTTTCAAGGTATTATTCGACAAAGCACAGTAATTCACTTCTTTTATCAAACTTTATTTATCTTTTCAGGTTGTCCCGTGGCCATTAAGCGAGTAGGAAGTTCTAAACGGATCGCTCTGGCAGCAGCAGCCATGATGGCGATGGAATCTGACGTGACACAGGGACCTTCTGTCTCTTCTGCTCACCCTCTCCACCTGCTCTCATTCTCACCCATCAAGCTTCCCTTTCTGACAGCACCTCACGCAGGTAGGACTACAACAGAAAATGCTTGTGCTAATCCCGCCTCTTTCCCAAAGGATTCTAGCTGCGGTTTTGGGGAGTAACTAACTAAAGCAACGTCTCAGTTACGTATGTAACCCTCGTTCCCCGAAGGAGGGAACGGAGACATTATGTCAGTGACTGATGAATTGGGATCCCAATTCGTCAGTTACTGACCTAACGTAGAACGTGACTGACTGAAAGAGAACTAAGACGCTTTAACTTAATTACATTTTGCAGTGACAGCAACGCAGCTTGTTTTTCCTGTAACGTGGTGTGATATAACTATGTCACAACGGTTTGTAGATCATGCAAGGACGATTGCGAATGTGTTATTGCTTTTATACAACAGTTCAAGATGTTAAAGGGATAGTTCCCCCAAAAAAGAAAATTCTGTCATTATTTACTCCCCATATTGTTCCAAATCTATATGATTTTCTTTAATCTGTGGAACATAAAAGAAGATATTTTGAGGAATGTTGGTAATCAAACAGTTTGGTTAACATTGACTTTTATTGTACTTAATGCAAGTCAATGCAAACCGAAACTGTTTGATTCCCAGCATTTCGCAAAAGAAACAAAATGCATACAGGTTTTGAACGACAAGAGGGTGAGGTGGGGGCATAAACAATGACAGAATTTATTTCATTTTTGAATGGACTATCCCTTTAATATTGAGTGACTTATATTTTAGACACAGTATTAGAAGTTGCTTTGTGTATTTTTGTTCCTCCACAGAAAATATTTTCAAGTGAAACATTAAGCATCTCACAATGCACAATGTTGTGGTGTTACTGAATAAATTAATGCTGTTGAGTGAATCTAATGAGTGAATGATTCAATGAGTCACTGGAAGTATGTCCCAAAACACGTGTATAGTCAACCTGAATGAATCAGTGTTGTTGAACAAATCATATGAATGAATGCTTCAATGACTCAGCCATAAGGACGGTTACTTGTTTAGTTCCTGATTGAATGAGCATGTCTGAATGAATCAGATGCATGAATGATTCAATGACTCACTAATAGTCACTTATTTTTTGTACTGAATGAATCACTGAGTTAATGATTCAGTGACTCATTCTTAAAGATAGGCAGTTGTTTAATTTCTGAGCGTTGTTCAGCATTGTTGAATGACTCAGGTGAGTGAATAATTCAATGATGTACTTGTAAGGACAGTTACATGTTTTGTACCTGAATTGAATCAGTGTGTTTGAACGAGTTAATTATTCAATCACTTTTTGTAACCTACTGACATAACGATGAAGCCTACAAAAAAAAAAAAATCACGAATGGATCGTGAGAACCTATTTTTAATAACTTGTCTAAGGATTTTATTTGTATTATTATTATTTGTTTGTTTTTGATTCAAGTACTCATGATTTTGCGTAAAAACCAAACATTACATCCTTGGTTTGGTGTGCGCTAGTCTGTCTTGACTTTACCAGTAAACCTCTCTCGTCATCATTGCTTCAGCTTTTTTTTTTTTTTCTTCTGGCTCAGGTTTAAACCAACCAGCTTTGTTGTTTTGTCTGACCCACTTGGTATGATTCTTGGGTTCATAATGAGGGCCTGCTTTCTCACAAAGCTTCTGATGTCCTAATTGGTGAATTGTAATTGCAAATGCTTTTGGTTATGCAAATGTCACAGTTTTTTAGTCCTGGCTTGTCAGAAATAGTCTGCACGTTGTCTTTTTCCATTTACAGTGCATTCTGGTAAAAATGAGTTAGTGTGTTTGCGTCCGGTACTTTGATGCTTTGAGAGTTTTAGAGGAAATGTTAGGGTTTTATGGTTGTCGATTTAGACTTCCCTAAGCAATTACAAGAAATGTTGCTACTTGAGCACCCATCTTCTTGCTGAGTTTCTTTTGGTATTGTTCTTACTGTGTCGGTGCCATTTCTCTTAAAGAAGTAAGAGTTTCACTTTGCTGAAGTGGACGGGTTTAAATCAAGGGTCAGTGCATAAATGACTGAACTGAATGGAAGTACGGCCGTTCGTTTGGTGAAACAGACAGTCTTGTCTGTGAAACAGTCTTTCTTTTTCTCTCTTTCTCTGCCTTCATGCATATTGATTAACTGTTTCCTTCCTCTGTTGTTCAGTGAACTTGTTCAGTCCCTCTTGCGGGTGGATTGCCTGAGGTGAAAAACCATGCGTGTGTGTCAATAGTGTGTACATGAGTCTGAGTGCAGGTCTATATATTTTATGAGCAAATGTATGTATTTTTCAGCTCCGGTCTTGAATGTGGGTGTGAGGGATGAATTATCTGCTGTGAATCAATAGGAAATGCGGCCGTGGTTGTCAGAATGCCCTGTATGGATGACAGGAATCCTCCCCTGGAATTACTTCCTTTTAGCCAGGCCTCAAAAGCAACATTAAAGCAAACAGGCCAGCAAACCCCGAAGGGCTTTTAATTTAGCTCTAATGATGTATATGCATGTTTGTCTGATGCTGTGGTAACTGGATCACTCTTGGTGTCTGGCAGCATCAGCCCACTGCATTTGAACATTAATGACGCTGTAATTCATCCTGATTGCGATCTAATACTTAAGGCAGGAATGATTGCCATACAGTTTGTGTGAGGGAAGATAATGGAGGTCTGTAGCTCTCTCTGGATGCAAGGTTTAAGGATTTATGTAAGATGCAATATGAAACAAGTCGCATTCATTAATCCTGAAATACCATTGCACAGTGATAATTTTTATTATAATCAAATCTCAATACAGTATTTAAGTGGCACAGTTATCAGCATAAATTATATTTTTTTAATTGACATTTTTTTGTGCGAACTATTAAATATCCTAAAAAATTATATACT